TTACAACACCTTCTTTTTCAGCCATTTCGTTGTAGATTTGCTGCTTTGCTTGGAGTCATTGTCCTGTTGCCTGATCCAATTTTGTCTGACAAATTTCCTCACATTTGACTCCAGAATACTTTGGTATAAAGAGAAGTTCATGGTTGACTCAATGCCCAGGTCCAGCGGCTGGAAAATCAAGGTTTTTACCAAAGTGATGCTGTGCATTACTTTTCGCAAAAGGTCGGCATTAAGTTCTGTGAAACCTCTCTTTGTCACATGACTGTGGGGGCTTTGTTTCTCAGTAACATGTGAGTGCTTTAAATTAGTATAATAATGGTAAATGGCCTGCATTTGTATAGCGCTTTTCTAGTCCTTAAGGACCCCAAAGCGTTTTACACCACATTCAGTCATTCACACACTGGGGATGGCAGCTACATTGTAGCCACAGCTGCCCTGGGGCGCACTGACAGAGGGGAGGCTGCCGGACACTGGCGCCACCGGGCCCTCTGACCATCACCAGTAGGCAAATATGGGGTTAGTATCTTGCCCAAGGATATTTGGCATGCAGCCAAAATGCAGCCTGGGATTGAACCATCGACCTTCTGATTAGTGGCTGACCTGCTCTGCCACCTGAGCTACAGCCACCCTAATAATAATAATAATGGATTGGATTTATATAGCGCTTTTCAAGGCACCCAAAGCGCTTTACAATGCCACTCTCGCATTCACACACTGGTGGTATAGTCCTGTCCTTCCTGCAAAAAGCCCTGATATTACATTATGGAGCATCATCATACATCATCAGCAGTGCATTTGTCTGTCTCTTGTCTTGTGCAGAATTTAACTGGTTTGTCAAAACCAATTTTTCGTAAAATGAACCATTGTGCAGGTTGTGGTAGGTAAAGCATGCTTTACCTACTACATATATGGAAGGTAGAAGCATTTGTGGTTATTCTCCATCACCAGATGACACCATAAGTTAACATACAGTGTTGTTTTCTGAAATTTCCTTCCTCTACATATTTGGATTTACTTGTCCATATTTAAATGAAAAATTAGTCAAAGTTAAGTTCTCTATCCATCATCCGTCTGTCGATCAGATATCTGGTTTTATGACCACAACAGTATGCCAGGGGCTCATGTTATGCAACTGTTGTCTTGCCCTGTACACATAGTACTGCCTCCTCATTCTTTCTCCTTCCCTTCGTCTTCCCCCCTCTTTTCCAGTTCTCTCTCCCCGAGGACTTATTCCATTTCCGTGTGTGACAGATAATTAGACCTAGAGTCTAGGCACACAGTCCCTCTCTCTCTCAGTCATCATCATCATTAGATTACAGACCGATCCTGTTCCTCTCCATTTCTGTTTAATGTCTCATCTGTCTGTTTGTTCTGCTTCTCCAGCATCAGCCTGTTTCTCTGTCTGCCTTCTTATCTGTCTTCCTGCCAATCACTTGGAATCAGTCTGTCTACATTCACAATGCAGGTGAAAGAGAAGACTTCTTCATTCTTTTCCTTTATTTTTCTGTTGCAGTTGTTTTGTTCACTCTGCACTAAAAGTGTTCCGATATTGTCAAGCTATTTATTTTGTTGTGGATAATTAATGCCATTTAGATTTATTATTTATGTATCACTGTGTAGTTTAGATGTTGTTTCTCCATATTATCGGAGGATGAGCTCATTGATGCTTCTATTAGAGGATCATTGTGCAATTCTATAGCTCACCCACTGTGTGTACTATACCAGTTCCTCAAAATAAAGTATGTATTCTCTGATTTGACCTTAATTATCTTCTTAAATAATGCAATGCTGTTTTTATGTATTGTTAAACATGCTGTAAATGTACTGTATTTATTTATTTAACTGTAGCAACACAGTGGAGATGAATATTTATAGAATCAAAACCTTAAAATTCAATTTACTTTTCATGTAAAATTGACTCATCATGTTTCTTTTTGTTTCTTTTTGCCTTTAAAAAGGCAGCAATTTAAACAGAAACTGTATTTATTTCATATATTGAAGTTAAATATCAATAGAAAAAAATGGTCCCATGATCCAGTCACGTTTTGTCTAGTTTTTTGTTTTGTTTTGTTTTTTGTGTTGCTGATGATAATGGTTTTAAATAAAAGCAGTCATCCTAATAATCAGTTTCACAGTTTAACAGGCAGGGTAGAAATCCCTGCCCGTAGAAATCCGTGGGATAGAGGCAGTTCGAAGTGGGCAAGTCCCTTCACCCATCTGCTCCATTTGAGCTCTGCACTGCCTCCTGGGTACGACTCATCGGATCAGAGACTGGACTATTTAAACAGACGGCTGATCCAAACTTCCTGTATTGGGGTGTTGGTTCCACAGATCGACACAATATAACAAAAGTTAGAAAATAATGATGATAAATGAATGAAAGTGCCTGTCAATTATTTATTCACATAACATGCACATGCAAGAGACAATGTGGATACTGTGCCCAGTAAATCACTTCCTTAAAATTGTTTGTCTGCTTGCCAATCAATTCCACTTGAACTTGCGGTACAATCAGCTGATTTCAGGAAAATAGTGACACAGTCTACAGCCCGGCTATGGACATCGCTTTTACTTTTTTTTGCACGAAAGGACAAGAGCATGATGGTAAAGTGCAAACTGTATCCAAGACAGAACTTTGAAACACACAGACAGCATCCTAGCACTAAGCTAGCCAAAAACCCAGAGTGATGTTAAAGCTGAGTGAACCGATCTTGAACTTCAACAGGTAACAAAAGCAGTGATGAAGAGTCAGGCTACAGCCTCCATTTATACCTGTTCATGTTTCTCAGGAACCAATGGGAATCAATAAGAGCAGTGATACGGAGCCAAGTCGATAAGTGATGCTGACAACGGAAATGGAATTGCTAAATTCTTAATTTCAATTAATCCTTGATTTCCATCCTTTGTGCACATATTAATCACAAATTCCTTCTGGAGTTCAATGAGGGACTAAAATATTATTATTATTAACTTTTGTTTGTGTCTTGCTTGTATGTGCATTTGTGTATTTTAAAACATGTTTAAAACAATTTAACTATTACCTGGACTCAGTATTTAACAAATACTGAGGTCATGGAGGTGCATTTGCATGCAATCCTCCTTCAAGCCCACAACACAAAGGCTGTGTGTGTTGTGCTAAATGAAACAAAGATGAAGGAAGAAAGGATGGAAATCTTGGTTTGTATGTATCCACAGCAGAGGCAAAGCTAAAAAACAAACACTAACACAAATCAGAACTACAGCAGCCCACGTTACCAGTTGCCTGAAATATTTTTGGTGGTGCAGCCAAGTAGCCATGGAGAGATACAACATATAGAACTGCACATTTAAAGCTTTGCATAGCATTTACACCAAAACAACACAGGAATATTTTGGAGTCACTAGAACTGGAGTCTGGAGACACAGATGGAGACGTCCATCTGACGTTTCCTTGCTGTTTCCTGTTAAAAAAAATATTTCTGTCTTTAGCTGCAATGAATGTAAAGCAGGAGGAACAATCAAAGTCTCTAAATGATTTACAATCACAATATTATTTTCATTTCAGTCTCTGTGCTTCTCTATTGCTTTTTTCCTTTTCTCTTTATCCCTTGAATGTCTACGTCTATAATTCTGTTGTCAACAGTAATTTGGTTTAACACATTTCCCCGAGAACAGGAAAATGTTCTCTCACCCCAAATGATTCTCAGCGGACCTCTTTACTCTCTTGGTAATGTCTCCTCTCTCTCACACTTCTTTGTCTCCTCTTTCTCTCTCCCCTAACATGATTTTCTCTTCAATTCTCTTCTCATCTCTTCCTCATAAACTCCATTTTCTCTCATTCTCTCCAGAG